TATATAATTATATATAAAATAACATTTGCCATTACAGACCTTAATTAAATTGGGAACGTTGTGTTCAGTCAGCAGTTTGCTAATACCTTTGTAGTAGGCAGGAAGAATTGTCATGTTCTGTAGGAAGAAGTGGAGAGAATCATGTGAGTTTTAAAAGCACAACCCCCCCCCCCCCCCAAAAAAAAAAAAATCTGTTACACAAATTTCAGACATAATTTAAATCTCCAACACTTGCATGCCATTGAGAAGTGGTCTGGCTATACTTAAAAGCTGCAATTTCAAATCTAATAGATACATGTCAGGAAGGACGGGCATTATGTAGCAAAAAAATGAAATAGTACCATCTTCTGTAGCTGATGGAAGTATTGTCTCAACTGCTCCTCCCTGTCCTGTACCTCTGAGTCAGTCATATTGTCAATCAAGGAATAAAGAAAACGGCCAATATTTTCTGCAAGGTGGGGGTAGGGGGAAGACAAGAGAAAGCATTCCACTAAAATTACTGACACTGTCATGTTATCAAGATTAATTTATAAGAAATCATTTTGGTGTGAGATGTCACCCTGATGAGAGGCTCTGAAATGGCAACAATGATCACTGAGGCATAGAGATTATGTGGTTTGGGAGCACATATCTAACTGGTGAGTGAAAGGAATATTAATTATTTTCAAACCGAATGACAGCTTTTCAGAACAAAATCTTTCTTCAATCTATTTTTCCATGGCTGTGTGACAAAAGCAGCACTGCCCAAGGCCTCTCCCCCACTTTCCTGCCCACCACCCCAAAACAGTTGCCATAAATATTTTGTCATTTATTCAAAAAGAAATAGAGCTTTTTAAAGCTTCATAGGCACAGCCCCATGTCTTTCTTATTATTTCCAGGGTTTTTCTGAAACTGATGAATGAATGTAAACACCATAAAGAATATTAAATGATATTTAATCATCAGCTCCAATAATCATATGGGGAGCTGCTTATAGCCAATGAAATTTAAGTTTAACAAAATATGCCGTAATAAAGTATTAATATTAACACTAAAGCACCAGGAAGAATCAATGAGGTTCCAACAAAGAAACTACATAGTGATGTATACTGTATTTTCTTATTATTGAAAATATTTTATCACAATGTAACTTTTGTTATTAAAACATTACAAAAAGCTATTAAATTTATAGCTTCTTAAAATATTTGTATTAATGCCCTTCTAAAAAAGAATCTTACCTCCATCTGTAAATGCTTGATTACATTATCCCTGTAATCTGTTCATTTTACTTACTATATAAGCATCTCAAGTACATTTTTCATTAAAAACGAAAACACTAATAACATCTCATGGATTCCACAAAATATACTGTGATCATCTGGGTAAAGTTTTTACCCAACATGTTTTCAAATTTCACTTTCAAAAAGAAATAATCAATGTTTACGGTTGTAATCCCTCAAACCTATCATTACCCAGAAGAACGGATTTGTGGATAAGTTACAATCATAGAAATTGAAACTCTACCAGTTTCTTGTTCAGCCTTCTGTTCCTCCATATACAACAGTTCTGTTATCTGGTAAGACAGAATAATCGCACATTGCAGTCAAGAAAAGCAAGCAAGGGCAAATAGTAACTGAAATTGAATTCTACAAATAACAAAGCAGCTCTCTACTAGCACTATTCTGTGCCACATCACAGCAATTTATTTATTTATTTAAAACAAAAGCTTTTAATATTTTTTAAACATTGCACAACGAAAGATTCGTTCGTTTTACCATCATGAGTGATCATAAAGAAAAAAAATTCTTGAAGCAATCAGACACTATTGTTTACAGGTTGAAAATTTGGGATCTATGTAGTTTGTTATCATTAATTACAAATTAATTTTAACAGGAATTTGCACTGCGCATAACAGACTCTATTTCAGTTAAGTATTTAATTTAGGAATAGCATAGTATACTTGATGTAACAGTTAAATAGAATTGGAGGGAGTGAAACAAAAGAACTATTCCTTAAAACCTGATGGCTGATGGTAACCAAAGGATCTAAGTAACGGTTATTTGGTCAGCTGTTTTTTTCCTCTTAAACTTGATTACCCTTCCTACTATCAAGGGAACAAGATTTTCCACCTCCATTAAAATCCACATATTTGGGCAACTCTGACCAAAAAAGAGATTTCAAGTTATTTTACTTGCCTTTACTGACTACTTGCCTTATATACTGTTTATTTCCAGTGGTTAAAATATTGAAATTGCTTTAGCTTTTCTGCATAAATCTAATAAATGAGAAACGTTCTTCTCACTGCTCATCTCTTTATACATAATTAACAAGAACTATTACACTGATAGACAGCCATGTTGGCAAAAAACAAACAAACCCAAAACCCTAGTCCTTTTGTATAGAACAGTGGTTCCCAATGTGGGGCCCACGCCCCACAGGGGAGCAATTTGATTTTTAATGGGGGCAATTTGAACCTGATTTAAACCAAGTTAATGGCCTTTTATAAGCTTCCTCCGCATGGGTAGAGTTCACTTTTTGAGTAAAGTAAGAATTATATGTCATAGGGGTGGCCATCAGGATTTTAGAGATGCTTATGTGGGGCATGGCCAAAAAAAAAGATTGGGAACCACTGGTATAGTGTCTTTCAAATCTTTCCAAGTAAGTTTCCTCCGGGAAGCCGGCAGGAGGTCACAAATGGCATCCATGTGATATCGTGTTTAATGAAGAGGCACGTTTCGCTTAACGATAGCAACTGGGAGCGCCATAATTTCCATCACTAAGCAGAAAGATATGATTCTATTGCTTAGTGATGGAAATTCCAACCCCAATTGCTGACATTAACCAAGAGCTACCTATATTGAAAAGCCCTTTCAAAAATAGTTTTAACATTTTTATTTCCTAATTATTAAAAATGAAGCTACAGAATGATTTTTTTAAAAAAAAGTCAGCTAAGTTTACAGCTACATTTTTTCGAAGAGAAGCTGCTAGCACACTTACTAGTAGTTTTAACTTTAACAGTGGTTTTAATGGCATAGGTATTTTTACATTTATATGGTTTTGTTTTATAGAATCTTTGATAAAGAAATTTTCCAAAACTTGTTGGTTTTTATACCATCAAATATTTCCAACTGGTACTTGGGGATGTATCACATAAAGACAAAAACTACTGCCCCTAAAAGAAAAATTTATCCCCTACCATGAACAATAAAATTAGTGCTTACTTAATACATGCAATAATAAATGCCATTTCTATGTTAATATGAATTCACAGTCACAATGTGAGCAATAGATTATAAAGCAAAATCAAGCATTTTAAAGACCAAATACAGACAAGGAAAAAGTATTAATTACATGCTTAATTTTCTCCACTGAGATCAAAAGGAGTTAAAAATATTTAACTTCAGACAGATAAGTCATGACAATTCACGTAAGTGTAGTAAAAGATTAGACTTAATCTGAAATAGGAGATCTTTCTATATATTGTACTTTTCCAATACTGTGCACCCAAAATATCTCCCCATTGCAGCTTAGCTGTCTTTGCTTACCTTGTTCCAAAGATCAACATCAGTACACCTGCAGAGGGCAGCAGAAGATAATAAATTGGAAATTTTAAAAAAACAAACCCTATTATTTCTTTTGAATGCTCAATACAACTGAACAGTCACATCATGAGTTCAGATTTGTTTAACTGAAGAAAGTTAAGAAATAATTGACACAAACACACACACACACTTATATATAAGCATAAGCTTTACAAAATTATTTTACTATATTTACAGACGATCATTACCACTGTAGTTTTTGTGATAATGTTAGAATCTATCTCATTGCATTTCAAAATACATGCAATCTGTGTGATCTTTTACCTGTGCCACCTACACTGTCTGTATTTAATACATTTTTCCATCATGAAATTGACTTGAAACCACAAACCTCATAGCTTTAAACAACTAGCTTAATCTCCACTATTCATTTTTGCATCATCAACTATTATACTATATGGAATTTTCTTGTAGAACAATGATTGCTTTTTTAAATGAGTAAAGATACTAATCCTATTGAAAGTTATATAACTGGAGCCTTCACTGTGTGAGCAAGCCTCATCCCATAATATCATGAAAATAATAAAACCTATTTCTGGAAACAAAAGCATTTCATGTACAATTGCACACATGTTGCCTCATCTATGATCTAAGTTCCTGATAATATGGTCCTGGCTCTCATACAAGTAAATATGCATACTGTACAGTTGTATCCAGGAATGTCTGCAGGATCCTGAGCAATGCCACATAGGGATATAGCTATTTTTAATCCATGAACAGAATATATGTCTTCCAACAGAAGTCTCATATTTGATGACTGTTGGATTAGAATATATAATGTAAAATATTTCTATGCTTCTCTTTCTGATATGCTTTCTAAATGTTAAAACAAATTTATCTGCTTTACCCTTGAAATTGTAATGCCTTGGGCACAAAGCCAGCTTTGTGCAAATCTCTTTCAGAGACTGAACCAAATCTGAAACCTTGCCAAGAAAATTGCAGGGACTAGTCCAGGTAGTTGCCACGTTAATGCTTATCTTAATGACTGCAATCCTGGCATTGTTGTTTGTGCTTCTTAAGTGATCCCATGGGTCATTAAGCAGACAGGAAAAGCAGTGCAGGGTGCCTGGGGGGGGTGGGGGGAGTCTAGGACAACTTGCTGTGGCCAACTTGCCACAGTCAACTCGCAGGAGGACAAGAGTTACACTAATATCAAAGAAATGGTGGAATAGAGTAATTAAAGAAGGGATGCCAAAGGAGGGACAAAATGAAATGTGAATGACAAAAATTAAAATGTTTTAATTATTTTAAATAATTAAATGAATTGTTGAATTGTCCTGTGGAGAGTTGGTCAGGGTGAATTGACCATGGCAAGATGACCATGGCTGAGTTGGCTGCAGCAATTTGGCTGCAGTGAGTTGTCCCATTCCGGCCTCAGCGGAGTGGGGAAAATCCCACTCAGCAGCTGAAAATACACCCTGCCAAAATCCAAGTAATATTTTTAGCCTCTTGAGTGGAGAGACACTCCAAGTAAAAATCCTCCCCACTGAAATCCAATCAGGATCTTCAGCCTCAGAGCAAAGAGATAGGTACTTTGTGCATGGCCTGTACCGATCCATCCAGGGCCTCCCCCACCACCCACTTGAAGCATTTTGGGCGCCTTATCATCCTGCCTCTTCATTTTCTGCTTTATTTTTAGCTCCCTCTCATTTCTGAGGGTTGGTTGAAAGAGCTGCCTGTGAAAGGATTGCAGTATCCTTCCATGCACTGAAGGGAACTCCTTTGGTAAGAGGCAGGAACCTGTCTAAATCCTGCTGAAGGGGTAAATGTCTATGGAAATTCTCAGTCATCCAGATCATGTTTGTCCCAAAGGTGCCTTTTCAAGAGACAACTGGACTTTCTTGTTTTTCTTTGAAAACATTTCACTTCTCATCCAAGAAGCCTCTTGGATGAGAAGTGAAACATCTTCCAAGAAAAACAAGGAAGTCCAGTTGCCTCTTGAAAAGGCACCTTTGGGACTGCTGAAGGAATACAGTTCCCCTCCATGCACAGAAGAGAACTCCCTCAGCAGGGAGCAGGAACAGAGGTGAAACCTTCAGGATTTAAGAGTTTAGTTCCCCTCAGCTGGCTATTTTTTCAATAAGATTCCAGAGACGAGAGAGAGTCCTTTTGGCAGTGGCAGCAGTCTGCAAACTTCCATGCTACTTGCAAATTGTGGGCCACTTGGCAATCAGCTGTAAGTGCCAAGTACTTAGATTGTAATCACGTAATCAAAATATGGTGGTGCAATGTTTTGCAACAACCAGAAGGGCTTCACAGGCTGTAAAGCAGCTATAATGAGGCCATCATAATTCCTGATCATCATTAAACAAATGGCTGTAACTCGAGGACTATCTGTATAAGAATGTTATGGAAAACTGTTCATAGCATGGTTTCTGTGTTCTATGACACAAGCAGCATGCACTTTCAGCATCTCTAGTAAATTAGCTTAAATTATTTTTTGGAGTATAAGACACAACTTTTTCCCTCAAAAAGGAGGCTGAAAATCTTGGTGCATCTTATACACTGAATACAGCATTTTTTGCCTACCGAAACCCTGCCCTCTTCGCCATAATGGCCATGCATAGCTTTTAGAAGACTTTCAGAGAAAAATGGGCCGTTTTTTGCTCAATTTTGCCTCCTCCCAGCCCCCAGGAGCACTCTACAAGCCTCCTAAGGGCTATTCATGCCTTTTGAAAAAAACAAAGCAAAAAACAAAGGGCCCGTTTTCGCGAAAAACAGGCAGTTTTTGGGAGGTTTGCAGAGTGCAAAAACTTTTTTTAAAAATTTGCCTCTTCAAAACCTTGGTGCGTCTTATACTCCGGTGTGTCTTATACTCTGAAAAATACGGTAAACCAGCTACTGATCCACAGAGAAAATATATGTGTCTTCTAACTCTGGATTACATTTCTATGGTAATTTCTACTCTGAAGTGGTAAGGAACTTATTCTGACATATCAATTTAACAACATAAAAATAGTTCACATATTTCCTCTACCCTAATAATTTTTTATGACTTTGTCTTTCTCCCTGGATAAATGACAATATAATCCTAATCACTTTCACTTCAAAATGGTTGAGATTTTGAAACATCTCAGGAACTAGGAAGATTACCTATACACATATATAGTAATACAATCTGTTTTGTCTCACCTGCAAGTTTGCTTTCTCTGTCACTGTATCTCTTTTTCAAATAAGATAATTTTAGTTTATTCCACCTCCCTACAATTTGCATGCATTTGTTTGCCACCCTAACCCTAACCCTAACCCTATTATGTCTACAGAGATTACAGTCAGGTCCAAAAAATATTATATAACAAAACTGTAATGTCTCTCCTATAAGCCAAACATAAGTTCCATTTTTGTCACTTGCTGATTTTTCTTTGAACAGTAATTCCCCTTTTCGTTTTGATTCCACAAATTTGATTTACCACCATTCTTGTCTGATTTCTTTTCATTGTAGTTTGATATTGTGAGCCACCAAGATGCTGTATAAAATTGTGGTAGGGTATAAACATGAAAATAATAATTTTGTTCGCTAAGAGTAAAACTTTAAGCAACCAAGGCACTACAAACAAAGGAGAAATAAAAAGATGTAGATAGCATTATATGATAGCAAGTATCATATAAGGTTAGCAGAAAAATTACAACCACTGACAAAATGCATTTATTTACATGTACATTTCATTCCTATGCATCATTCAGTGTGGATTAATATCAATACAAGATTTTTAGTATTTGAAAGGGAAAAACAGCAAAACTAAAAAAGTTCCGAACAAAAATCATTGTAATTATATAATTATATATATATAATATATATGTTTGAGTAGATCTCTAATAAAATTAACTATGATTACAAAGTTTTTAAGTTCAATCTGAATTTAGGCATAAATTTATGGGATGACATTAGATAAAGCTTATACTATGTGTTCTAAAATATATACTACTGATTAACCTACCCTAATTGTCACTAGCATTATTGTGATACATCTTTGAAGCATAATATGAATATAACAAACTTTGTGAATTTTATATAAATATTATTTTACTTGATAGTCAATGTGATATTATCAAAGCAGTTTCAGCTATAGAAGCTCATTAAGAAATTTGGGATTTGATAACTTAGCTCAGCTGCCCACACAAAGATGCTTATTATAAGGGGATATTTGGAAGGTGCCATGATCTCCTAGGAAAACTGGAATATAAATCTAAAACAATGAAAGACAAAATAAATAAACTCTGTTTTCAATTTACTGAATCTAGGCCCAAATGAAAACCTTCAATTTTCCACTTATAAAATAGGATATTAAATTTCAGCAACACTGAAGCCACAAAGAGAGACCTAAAAGATCCTGCCAGAACAGAGGGATATTATTAGCTACAAATAGCTTTAAAAAACAACAACAGAAAAACAAAGCTGTAACTTGAGATCAAAGATATCCAAAATCTTATAAATCTTATAAGATTTCATAAGTCTTACTTTCTAAATCCAATCATTAGACTGCTCTTGATATGATTCCTGTTCGTTATCCAGATGTTTGAGGAAGATACTGCAAGTTAAATTAAATTATTCAGTATACATTGATTTGTATTTCTCTAAACAGCACTGAGTCAGCAATTGTTATTTTAAAACCAATATGCTATAAAGAAAAACAAAATATTTAATGTTATATACTTGATAGAGCTATTGCTTTATATTTCACTGTAAAGACATAGTAACCCTGTCTTTCTCCCTGTTTCATAATCCGTCCCTGTTCATGACTAAGTTTAAATAAACTTTATTTCTAAATAAAGGAATCTGTTCTATAAATTCAGATTTTCCAGTCAAATTAAATATAATTCTTTTCATTTATCTGTTCTCAAAAACAGTGTTAAAGCTTATATAATTTTATAGCACAGTGAGATTCAAATAGAGCATTAAGATATATCTATAAAAACTGGTCACAATAGTCACACAATTTTTGCAACATTTTAAAAAAAGAACATCTTAAGAACAGTAGGTAATGTATCATCTCTTTCTTCTATCAAAGGGATGTGGGCTTTTTAAAATGAAACAAAAGGCTAATTTACACATTATACTTGCTTCTAATCATAAATGGAGGCATGTTAAAATACAACTTCAAATAATCTTAAATAACAAGTATTTTTGTATAAATTATCAACATTTACCGTTCTTTAAATTATATCATACTACTTTTCCAAACAGGCTACTCAGATAAAACAAGAGCACTTACATAACTGATAAACTTTATCCAGTCTGCCATGTGAAGCTTCATGCCTGATTTCTGCTGCTAAGAATTTACTGGTTTCCAAAGGACTGCCTTTTTCCTATGGAAAGATGGTAATACAGTAGTGCCTGGTATATCATCATAGTCAAGCTTTTTAAAATACTTCATATTTCAGATCTGGTGTGGGTTTGGCCAACAGCCTTCCAACCTTGACCAAAGCTATCTTCTGTGATTCAGGGTGTGCAATGTTTTACAGATATTCTTAAAGTTCTCAAAAAAACTATTTATGCAAAGCATAATTTTAGAATTGTAATTTAAAGACTAAACACACAGAATGTGCATAGACGACCTGCAAAGCAATCATTTTAAAAGATGGTATCTGTTTCAATTTGTTAGAATTGTCAATTCAGTGCAAACTCTCCAGCTTTTCATATTAACAATAGTGAGAAATGTTTTGATTGCTATACAAAAGAGCCAAAGTCCTTTATAAAATTTACTTTATATCTCTGCATGTTTTAATGTGCTGCATGCAATATTACATTTGGTAGAAAAGGAGATCTAGCTAAGATAAGCTTTTTGGGGGGAAGGAAGTGTGAAGGACATCCTAGACCAGTGTGCCAGAGGTGGCATTCAGAGCCCTCTCTGTGGGCACATGTGCCATTGCTCCAACCCAGCTCCATTGTGTTTCTCCCATGGGGGTGGAGGGAAGGAGGGAGAGAGAGGGAGGGGAAGGGAAAGAGAGGGGGGAAATGACAGGGGGAGGGAAAGAGAGAAAGGGAGGAGGGAAAGAGAGAGAGGGAGGGAAAGAGAGAAAGAGAGGGAAAGAGAGAGAGAGAAAGGGAAAGAGAGAGGGGAGGGAGGGAGGGAAAGAGAAAGAGAGGGGGAAGAGGGAGGGAGGGAAAGAGAGAAAGAGGGAGGGAAAGAGAGAGAAAGAGAGAAGGAGTGAGGGAAAGAGAGAAAGAGAGGGGGAAAGAGGGGGAGGGAAAGAGAAATGATATTACAAATGTTTTTTTTTCTTTTTTATTGTTGCTAAATGTAATATTTCAAAAGCTGAAAAAAATGAAGGGGCATAAAAGTGCATTTATCACATTTTTCTTAGAACAATTAGTTGAACACTGCCTTGTTTATCATTATTTTAGGTAACCTTAAGTAACCTTATTGTTCAGGTTAAATTGCTATATTGGTACTTTGCGATAAATAAGTGGTTTTTGGGTTGCAGTTTGGGCACTCAATGCCAAAAAGGTTCACCATCATGGTCCTAGACTAAAATATATGCTTTGTTTATAGCCATTTTTTTGGTAGAGAGAACTAACATTGCAAGGAATTTAGCTAGAAATTTAAATAATTTGCTTTCTGTTATGTTCAAGCTATGTAAGATTATGAAATGTTATCTAGTATTTCATCAAGCCATTAAGTGTGATTACATATTCTATTATCAAAGGTAACTGTTTTGTTTCCAGTTTTAATATCAGATTCATGCATGTCTAAGTCATTTCAACTGCTGCTTTCATCTCTGTGTTCTACAAATCAGACTTTCAATAATATCATGGACAGATTCAGGAAAACACTGGTTATACCAAGCATCTTTTCAGATCACTTTAGTTCTCTATCTCATCCAAGACTTGCACTACCCCCTCGTGTAAGATCGCTAAAGGAGTGAGCTACGTATGAGAACAATCTGTCTTCAGGTCGCTGGTTTCAAGAAAAAAGAAAGAAAAACACTCTGCACTCTGTCATATGTGTGGAACAAGACACCAGCTGGGACAGCCTAGTGACCATATGAAGGACATGAAATCCTGAACCTCTCCAGAGTGTATAATTTCGATGGGAACAATGAAAAGTCTTAGGACAAAAGGATTACGAAGAAACCGAGTTTAGAAGATACCCTTATTCAATGGGGCAAATAAACCATTTGTTCTGATCTAGGCTTCCTGAGAGCATGAAGCAAACTCCTTGTCCCGACAAAACCCCTTTTATTAATTTACTGTGAATTCTGCTCATTCACATCCAGCAAAGTCTTTCAAGGGAGGATTTACAGTCACAGACCTTATCTGGCTTGGAGAGCTGACAGGCCAATATGTGCAAAACTTGGCAAGGAGTCTCGGAGAGTCATGAACCAATTAAGCGAACTAACTGTATCCTGCAAACTCCATTCCCCTTTCACTGTTTTATTTCCACTGGGAGGGGCCATTCATTGTGGCCCCTCCCAGAGACATTTGTACACCAAAAATGTCTGTCTTGATATGCACATGTGCCTCAGATAAATCATAGTGGTTTTCAGTCCCCAAGTCATTTCTTTGGGGATAATTCCATCACTGGTAACTTGAATTGGCCCAGGACAGCTCTCTTTAAAGCAATAGTTCCAGGCACAACAGTATGAATCATCTGATTCTGTTGATTTTTATCTTAAAATTAACAAAATTACATTATCCAATATATCAAATATTTATCGTCCTACTACTTGATATTTCCATCATAAATCAAAGTCTTAAACCTCAATCCTATACAGCCCAGAAATTTCAATGTTATTAAGTACTAAAGTGCTAAAACAAATGATAAACCTACCTGAATCCTCTGGCGAACAGAATCGAAGTTATCCAAATTTGTAAAAACATATAATAAATATGTGTCAATAGTTGGCTCTACCTCCAATTCATCCATAATTTTGAGGACATTAATTACACCTAAAGAAAAAGAACATAGGTGTTAAACAATAGCTTGCTAGTGGCTCAGTTCAGACTATAAAATAAAGATTACATAATGCTTTATAAGTTTAGATTATTTTACATTGGCAAAATTACATAGAAAGCAGAGATTACACTGGCCTTTGTTTTTCTGTATTCTGCTTGATTCACTTCTAACACAAGTTATTGGCTCCTAGAATGTGAATTTTTCTATATGCAGATTGTCTCATTTCATACAAAGAAAGTAGAAGACAATTAAAGTTTAAATAGTTGGAAAAGAATTTTATTTCTGATAGCATGCTAAAGAGGGCAGCCTTTAGCCAACCTTAGCTGATCACAACAGCTCCACAGGTCAGGCTTGGTAATAAAAGTTTTTTTTAAAAAAAAAATCCTGTGAGACAATGATGAACTATTTCTATTACACTGCTGAGAAAACTGCATGGATAACAATCACTCAGAACCAGGAATTTCCAGGATGAACCATGATAGGCAAATGCTGGGCTACTTAATTCTCCTACCACTATGCATTTATGTCTTTTGGGAAGATTTTCTTTTGGAAGACTCTCCCACAGCATCTCCACAGTAAATAATAGCACTACTTTGATTCATCATTAATTTTACCTAGAAATTCACTAAGTACTGCCAAGTTCACTAATTTCAATTTCTGAGCAGGATTGGACACTTTAATATATAGTGATATAGTCCTCTTTCCTTTCTACTACTACTGGTATTCCTTTCCTTTCTACTGCTTCTTTCTCTGTCTTTAAATGTTCTAATTAATATAACTGCATTTTATATTCTTATCATTATATCAAGTACCTTTTAAAGTGAATGCCAGTTTGGTATACAATAGTGGTTAACTCATCAGGCTAAAAACCAGGAGACTGTGAGTTTTAGTACCTCCTTAGGCACAAACTCAGCTGAGTGGAAGAAAGAAAACTGCAGGGACTAGCCCAGGAAGTCACCAGGAATCAACACTGACTCAAAGGCATAAAATAAAAATAAAATAGAAATAAGAGGCTAACATTGCTATATAAAAGGTTACCACAAAGTGTTCAGAAATTAAGTTCTTGAAATGCACATTCACATAATTTTATTACATCATATTGAGTTAATCTGAGATTTATGTCAAAAGCTGACTGGAACTAGCATTTTTATTTGGTCTAGTGGTTAAGGAACCAGGTTTAGAAAATGTAAGACTGTGATTGTGAGTCATGAAAGCCAGTTGAGTGACTTTGGGCCAGTCACTCCCTCCACAGCCCAACCCACCTCACAAGGTTCTTGTGGGGAAAATAGGAAGAGGATGGTGTGTTGCAGTGGTGGCATTCAAATTTTTTTATTACCGGTTCTGTGAGCGTGGTGTAGCTTGGTGATTGTGGCTTGGTGGGTGTGGCAAGGAAAGGATCCATTGTAAAATCTCCATTCTCACCCCACTCCAGGGGAAGGTTACTGCAAAATCCTCATTCTCTCCTGATCAGCTGGGATTCGGGAGTCAGAGAATAGATGGGCATGTAGCCAGTCAGAGGTGGTATTTATCGGTTCTCCAAACTACTCAAAATTTCCACTACCAGTTCTCCAGAACTGGTCAGAACCTGCTAAGTACCACCTCTGCTATGTTGGATATGTTTGTCACTTTGAGTTATTTGTTAAAAACAAAGGCGGGCTACAAATAAATAAATAAATATAAAACAGTAGCATAAAAATTATTAGTCCAGGTTTCCTCATTCCTTATTTTTTTTTAAAAAATATACTTTTCTGAAGTCTTTGTCTGAAGTGCCACTTCCAATAATTTTGTATATAATGCACCATAGTGCAAATAATTAAACGGGAACTCCTGCTGCGCACTTAAAAGTACATGTAAACAAGTCACAATAGTTAAAGACACACCATTCTTTGAAGTTTGCCTCAAAATAGAAAAGTGATTTGATTTCAGCAGAACTGGAATTTTATTTAGAAATAATTAATTACAGAGTAATTGTCAATAGCTCTGGTAACACTTAAGACATGGAAAAATACCATTAAGTGAATTTCCATTCATTGTTGCTTCTTCCACAATTAAAAATATTAAACTCATATTATGACAATAGTGCATTTACTTTTAAGCAATCATGATGATCAATTATGTTCAGTATATCATAAAGCAAAGATTAAAATTATCACTAGCCTGTTTATGAAATACATAAAGTAGGGTATTCAGTGACCATGCAGGAACTTCATGCCATGTTTCCCTGAAAATAAGACTGGGTCTTATATTAATGTTTACGCCAAAAGACGCATTAGGGCTTATTTTCCAGCTAGGTCTTCTTTTCCGGCACAGTACAAAATGAGTCCATCTGGCAGACGGTCTTAACTGGGGCTTATTTTGGGGGTAGAGCTTATATTGAGAGCATCTGGAAAAATCACGCTAGGACATTGTCTGGTTGGGTCCTATTTTCAGGGATACACAGTAGAAGTTCGGTCACATCTAAACCCAGAAACTAATTACTTTGTCTGAATATGACACTCTTAAGTCACTCTATTTTGCTTTGAATGCTATGGAATACTAAAATGTTTATTTTTACTACTTTAATCAGTATTATTAATAATGTTCCTCTCCTTTGTTAATACCATTGAGTCAATGTTGACTTTTGGCAATCGCCTGGATTAGACCCTGCACTTTTCTTGGCAAGATTTTTAGAACTCATTCAGAGTCTCAGCAGATAACTTGATAGTTTGATAACTATTCATTTTTCAATCAAAAGCAAGCACTAAATTGACAGATATATTTGTTTTCTTTTAATCATCAGTTACCTAATCCACAAAAGTTTGTACTTTCTCTATGTTTCTTTATGTTACTACATCTTGAATAATCAAATTTCTAATTCCCATTTCATGGAAGATCTTTACATATAACTCCAGAACTATCCATGACAGACTAGATTATAAAAATCTGCAAAAGTATATCCTGAAAATTACCATGAACCAAGCTCAACTTTATCACTTACCTTTTTTGACACAAAGAAAAAAAATAACTTCATATGGTAACTATCATACATCTTTACCCAATATGTAATTTCTTTATAGACAAAATTTAAGGTGAAGTTTATAAATATAATCTTTTAAATTTACATTCCAAAGGTACAATACAAACATGATGGTTTATATAATTTGGTCCTAGTTTGAGAACAAAGTCTCAGAGAACGAAGGCTTCTGTTTTTACTTCCGCCTCTTATATATAACTCTCTGCAAATAACAAAGTAGTCTGCAGGGACAGAGATTTCATTTGAAGCCAACCTGATAAAAAAGCTGATTATAAGGTATAATGGGAAAGCGTCAAAAAGTCTGCAGTTGCTTCATTTTAGGATGGCAAAAACAGGGATCAATGTTCTCTAGGGATCCTTAACCTCGCAGTTTCAGACCAATGGCTTTAAGGATTGAACATATTTTAATAACTCTTTCAAGGCACAGATGAGAAAACATTAGTTCTTTAAATTATTCAACAAATAGCCTTCAAATCAGATAGCTAAATAGTGTCCTATTCCAATTAAAAAATAATTTTCAAAAGCGTTTTTTAAAATTAAAAGTAGCTTTCCCACCTGTTGACAGAAGGATAGCTTCTTCAATGAATAACAAATTACTTCTGAAAATTTGTGCATCTTAACATTACACATCCAAGAAGAGAACCCAACAGTTCAACTCTGAGCTATGTGTGCATACAAACACATACACACAGACACACTACTATTGAAACAATGGGATCTAATATGTTGTCATCGTAGAGCAATTCTTATTTTATGGCAAGAGTTCATATAATTCCTCAGTTCAAGTTTATAGCACTAGAAAAAAGATGCCACACCGTGTTTCAAGAAAGACTCACACAATGAATTGAATTGTGAATGCAACATTTAGAATTTCATTGATAAAAGAGCCAAGGAGTCATTATCTGATAAAGCACCTCATGAAAAGCATAAAGTTTTTCTACATTTTAATCTATACAACATTTATAATGAAGAAAAACGGGTTTTTTTGCAACTAAAGTCATGTCATTTTTATTCACAATACTAAGTGGCTGCCTCTGATGCTGAAGGATTTCCACAATGAAGATTTCTTCATTGAATATATAACTACTTATAGCTAGCCATTCATTAGTTTTGGGATAGAGGCAAGTCAAACTGGAAAGAAATAGTATTAAATAAAACATAGTTAAACTTGAACTTATCATAGTATGTACAGTTTGGAGATAGTTGGAGGAGATGCAATACACTGCCAACAATTTTGAATGCAAAGGTTTTATTAGGATATTCTCCCCAGTACTCTTAAGCATTTTCAGGAATGTAAAGAGTTAACAAGAGAATGTTGTTTTATAAAGATTTTTCTAAAAAAGATTGGCACACTTTTATTGCCAGAAACAATTAGGGAATACTTGTTTCAGCATTTAGTCTAAGTTGGAATATGACTGTATATTTTAAAATAAAATTGCAATATGAACTGCCTGCTAAAAGCTCTTTTTTTGTTGTTTCTACATTTTGTTTGTCATCCATGTCACACTAACAACTCTGCATCTCATTCTAAAACACATTATACTGTGAAATAAGATGAAAAAGACAGTTTTTAATTTTCCCAAGGGGAAAGTACTTCTCTTAAAAGCATCTTTTTATCAGTCCATTCTTTCTGAATTACCAATAATGCAAACCAAAGAATTAGATATTGTCCTTTAAAATTTAATATTTGTTCAATTTTTACTCATATCTTATAGACACCCCCATCTGTAACAGGGGAAAGTGTGTGCTAAATGCTTAAGCCTACTTAAGAATCCAAAAACTGAGCATTTTAGTGCTTCAATCAATATGTCAAGATCATGAGAGTTCATTCAACAATGAAGGTTTTATGCTTTTATTATCGTAACCAAGTTCACATTTAACTTATCACTGCAAAGAAACATGAAAACCTCATCTAAAAGATTCATTTCTTTTATATTTAGAGGAAGAATTTGCACAAAGTAACCTGATTTTAAAAGCTTCCCTAGATTTCAGTATTGTCTTTCAAGTTCAGAATATTAAAAGACAGCCAAGAATATTGTGAAAATTGAACCTTGGCTACAACCAAGCTAAAATAATAATTGCTCTTTGTAAAGTTCCAAATGTGACATTATTAACAATGACAAAATAAAGTAAGAATGAAATAATAACTTTTCAAGGCAATTGTTGTGATATATAGTACACTACTACATCAAAAGACAATAATGTTTTGATAAGAGCTGTGCATTTTACTGAGTTGTTCTCATATGCAAACATGTTTCTTGCTATAGGATTATGTGGTTAGTATTAATGATAATCAAAATCTGATTAGAAGTGCTAACCTTCAGTGTTTTTCTTTTCCTGGTGCTGAGCCAGCAATGGCCAAAAATAGTGAGGTTTAAGACATTCGCCTTCTTCTTTTATCATCTTCATTATATCAATAGCTAAATCTTAAAAGAGCCAAAAAGAAAAAAAGTTAATGAGAATGATCACAACACATGTACAAAAATGTTCAGCAATGCTAAATATCAAAAAGAAATACCAGTTTTCTTTGCTTCCAATGCAAAGAATAAACTCGACAATAGAGGTGAAGGGTGTAAGTTGCTTGCTTTTAGCTCATTGCAGAAATATTTCAACTTGGCCAAGGGCTGCAAGATATAAGATTTAAGAATTTAAGCTCACCACTATTCAATAAATCATTCAAAATCACAATGACAATGAAGCATAAAATCTTGAAAAACAGATTTTTTTAAAAACTTTGATTGGAAAACCCATGTTATACTTAACTATCATCCGAGCAGTGAAAGACCAGGGAAGAATTCCTTGGGTTTCAGTCCAGAATACAGACTAAAATAAAGACTAAGAGACAAGAGAATGCGATCCTCTTTCTAAATTGGAATATGGGAAGAACTTATTTTGTTGGAAGTCTATGGAATTAGTTGGTGACAGAAAGAAAAGAAGTGCATAAGGAAACCCTAACAGATCAGAATATAATGTTTAAGAAATTAAATAAGCTAGCTCTAAAAATACTGTCAGCAGAAATAGCTAGACATATGCAAAGCTTTCTGCCAATTTCACACTACATAAATCCCTGAGAGACCCACTTACAAATATGAATTTATGAAAAAGGATTGGATATTGGCCCACTTTCCAGAGCACAACCCATTCCACTTAGAGTAGAAGGGCTCCAAAGATTTTTAGAGAAGTCTAGTGGCTGACAGGGGAAGGAGGGATTGAGAAAGTTAATTCTTGCTTATTCCCGACCCTAAACAACATAGAATCCAATTTATTAATTTGAACACATCTTTTAAAACCAACCCACAAAAATCAGCTTGAGAAATTTTGTAATCAGGAATGCACTTTTAAACCTGTTTGGTTTGAGCCTTCACATACCGTTTCCATGTTTATACAATGGTGTAAGAAAAAGTTGCACTGGCTACTGTGTTTTTCACAGGTGAGCCCTAATGCCACAAAAACTGAATGCAGAACTTCAAAAGCTGTATCTTCTAAGTTATGTGTTATTAATCTCAGGCAAAGATTCTTTACATCTACATTTGGAATAAAAACAAGAGGGAAAGATGTAAGTTGTAAGGTTTTGACAAGAATGTATAAACATGCATTTTTTGATAATCTCAGTAAAAAGGTATTTTGATGTGTATTTAAGCATGTATTCAAGAAATATGCTCTACCATAATTCTGGTTCAATGGCTGCTACATAAATGGAATACATTAATAAATCTCATTTACCTTACTTTCCCCACAACTTGTCATTAACAAAATAAAATTAACCATCTATATCCCAAAATACTTGCAAAAAAACATTACCTGGTATGCTTTCTTTACTAAACTTTATCTTCTCCAAAATATTTTGTATATACTGAGAATATCCGGCCTTAGCAAGAGTAAAAATGATTTCCATAAAATCTCTTTCAGAAAGATAAATTTCAGCCTTTTCAATATTTTTCAGTTCCTTTATCAGCAAATGGAAAAATGTCAAGTTAGTGTTTATTATAAACATCACAATTGCTGTTCTTTTATTTAGTTAGTTTTGTGGGTAAGACAAAAATGAATCTAGGTATCAATTATAGACTTTTGAGAAATGCTCTAATTAAAATCATGGAAGTAGTCTTAATATGATGCAAAATACCATTTTATTGGCTTATGATCTGGCTATTAAAGGATGCAATTTCATGAACATTTAACTCAATTCAGCCATCTTCAATAGCTGCTAACTTCTCCAGTACTACTTCGAACAATACAAATATCTTATTTGTCCATCAAATAAAAGAACACTGTTTTCTAGAGAGCAATTATCTATAGAAAAACTCACAAATTTATAATATGCTTAGCAAGCATATTACCAATTCAATACTGATATACGGCATTGGCTAATTATGTAAGCAAGTCTTAAGACAATATTTCTTGAGGGCTTACCATAAAATTGTTACTGCAGAATTCAAACACATGGCACAGTTTTACAGTTTTTGTTTTGCTTACTGATAAATTATTGTGGCTTAAGCTGTCATTAACAGCTATAAGATTAATGAAGTGTTTTGAGTTTGATGATGGCGTCTATCTCACTGTAGACACTCGCCAATATGTATGTATTGGAAAACAATGAAACTTCATAATAACTGCAAAGGACTAAAATAGAGTAAGTCTTCATACATGCTGAGCCAGCACAGCTCCTATTGAGCTTTTTGTAAATCGTCTTTCTTTTCTTTCTGTGTCGATATACCATTTCTTTGTCAGCCCAGTAGTGGGATATGACCGGGCGTACCGGTGCCTGCTGGGAGCACCAGGTACCATTCTGGTACAGTGCTCTGGAGGGCTCACTCACCCACCCACTCTCCTTACCTGTATTTGTGTTCGGGGCTTCCGTGCACGGAGCGTACAGCACCTGCGTGACACTCCGCTGAGCAGCTGGAGCATCGCGGGCGGCAAGTATGCATGTGCACGCTGTGCGCATGCTGCGTGCGTTCATGTGGTGGACACCCGGCCCTGTTGCACCATACTGGTTGCATCGTGATCCAGAACCCACCACTGTGTGTCAGCCCCATGACTCCTTACTACTTTTGTATATGTGAAAGGAAATACTTTAGGCATGCATAATCAATGAGTCCTTTTAAAAAGAATATTTTATAGATTTTAATTAGGAACATTTTGTTCTTTTCCAAGGTCTATTTAAATAAACCTACCTATATTTGCAGCATTGCTTTTATATTTATTTGTTTATATATGCAAAGAATATCAGTTGCATAAACTTCTCGGATGAAAAATATATGCAGAATTAGTTTTAGGTGGCTCTGGTAATCCTAAATTGACATGATATGGAGTTGGGCTTTATATAGGATTGTTGTATTTATTTTTATGTTTGTATTCATACAGTATTCTCTGTATAATATTTGGGTGTTTTTGGAACACCATCGCAAATTCAGGATTATCTTCCTTTTTGGATTAGTATGATACATATATAGTGAGGTGAAGAATTGTATTTAAAAAGGTCAGAAGCAAATTATTTTTTAAAAGTGCCGTAAGCCAAGATATAAGTTGTAGCTTTACAAACAAAGGGCATTACCTCTTCTATTTGGTTTATGTTGCCTTTCTCAGCATAAGCATTCAAGAGTGCCAAATAAGTCTCCGAGCCAGGTTCAATTTTAGTGTCTCTCATGACAGAAAGGATGTTGACTGCATTGTCCATATCTCTGAAATATTATGGAGAAAAATACCATACATAATTACATGTAATTCACGACTAACATTTGTCCTTAGCCTATGAATGAAACCAAAAGTCCAGAATCTAACATTTATTTACATTTAATTAAATGGATGTGTAAAAGGAAATGAATGCAAAATTAAATAGCAGTGGCATGTATTAGAAGAAAAAGATCACGCTTTAAAATTCTACTTCTTTTGTATAAAGTGCTTAGGAACTATGTTAAAAGATGAGAGCAATCTACTAAAAAAAAGGTTGACAGTCACAGCAAAAAAAGTATTAGTGTACTATATATGAGATGTGGCTATTTTCAGCAATTTGAGATTTGGACTGATCCAGTAATAAATATTCAAGATCTCTCTGAAAAAATACTACTGTATCAGAAAAAACCCTTTCCAACAGCCCACTCTATGGGCAGCATGGGGAGAAAAAAAACTCTTAATACATAAGATGTCAATTATCTCCTCACACTGCTTGTCTGTGGTTTGGCATTTGCAAATCTTATCTAGTCATATTAAATCTTATCTAGTCATATTAAATCTTATCTAGCCATATAATTTGTTTAATGACATGCATATGACATTGAACCTTTATGTATACTGAAGTAGTAGATTGTTTTGAAATCAGAATTATGGCAGAAAAGGGATCAAAACTCCTTCTCAAATTTGCCTGCATCAGCTATTTTCAATTCCAAACCAATTTAAAAAGATGCATTTAATGTAATTTCACATGTGTGTAGGCTCTTAGGATGTTTCCCGGAACTTAGATCAAGCAAGCTCACAAATCCTAGCAGACACTCATACAGAAAGATACTGCTTCATATTAATGTGCAGAGCTGCTTTAATTCAGGAAATCTTCATTCATATCAGAATGAGCTATGAATAAGGCAAGGAAGTTCATTATGAAATATTCTTTTGTAACCATTCAAATGATTTAAAAATATAATTGCCTAAATAAGATTAATCTTAGACAATGATTTAAGGAGAATAAGAAACGTAAATTACCCAGCTTTTGCGTGACCAGTGACAAGGGCGCTGAAAATCAACTCCGTTATCGGGAGATCTTTGCTTTTCATAATATTAAGAATTTTGCTGCAAATGAAAATAAAATCAGATAAATGTTCCCTTGAAAAATATATGTAGAGATATAGATAATAAATAGACAGACACAGGCACAGGCATGACATCATTTGCTTTAGTTAAAAGAACTAGGCAACAATAGTCTAACATTTGATTAGCAAAAAGGAATATGTCTATCTACCATTCTGCCTAAGAACCACCATTTTAACTTCAAAGAGATATTTTAATTGAAATAGGCAAAATTAGGCATTCTTTTAGAGACATTGTTCAATTGCTGGATTCCTACACATACACTATATTGCCAAAAGTATTCGCTCACCCATCTAAATAATCAGAATCAGGTGTTCCAATCACTTCCATGGCCACAGGTGTATAAAATCAAGTATTTAGGCATGCAGACTGTTTTTACAAACATTTGTGAAAGAATAAGTCACTCTCAGGAGCTAAGTGAATTCCAGCGTGGAACTGTGATAGGATGTCACCTGTGCAACAAATCCAGTCATGAAATTTTCTAGCTCCTAAATATTCCAGTCAACTGTCAGCTGTATTATAAGAAAGTGGAAGTGTTTGGGAACGACAGCAACTCAGCCATGAAGCGGTAGGCCACGTAAACTCGTCCAACATCAGTGTGTGACCTCACAAATGCGCTTCTGGAAGAATGGTCAAAAATTCCCATAAACACACTCCTAAACCTTATGGACAGCCTTCCCAGAAGAGTTGAAGCTGTTATAGCTGCAAAGGGTGGACCGACGTCATATTGAATCCTATGGATTAGGAATGGGAGGTCACTTACAGTAAGTTCATATGCGAGTAAAGGCAGGTGAGTGAATACTTTTGGCAATATAGTGTATATTAGAATATGGCCTAGTCATGAAAATAGCAATAGCACTTAGACTTATATGCTGATTCGCAGAGCTTAACAGCCCTCTCTAAGCAGTTTATGTGAAAGTTCTTTGAAATTTTCCCAAGATTTGGAGACAACGAATGGAACACAATGGGAGATACTTCAACACAAATACCGTATTTATCGGCGTATAACACGCACCGGCGTATAACACGCATTCCCCATTTTAACACAAAAATTTGAGTAAAAAATTTTTTCATTAAAAATAAATGACTTGGAAGCTCGGAACTTAATGTTGGATTAAAATTTATAACATTAGAACATGAATTACTTCCCCTTCTCTTCTGTCACATCATTTTCGCCCCTCTGATCCCCCTGTACCACCTAATCCCCCCCCCAGATCCACCTGTACAACCTAATCCCCCTGTACCACATAGTCCTGATACCACCTGTACCATATAACCCCACCCCCCATATCACATACTCTTTTCCCCTGCGCCACATAACAAGCCCCCCCCACATAAACCCCTATTTCTATATGTTTTTGTTTTCACCACAGTACCTGGCCTGTGTCGCTAGCAGACTCAGGTTACTCTTTAATTGCGCTGACGAGTAACGTCCTCAGCGTAACGTCAGGGACGTCACTCGTCAGAAGTACGGTGGCCTCGGAGGGTCCTGAGGAGCAGCCTTTAAAACAGCAGCGCGGGCGGCTGCGGACTCACAGCTGATTGGGAGAATGCCGGCGCGTACACTTGGGACCAGAGAGCAGGCGGGCGGGAAGGTAAGCACCCGCAATGATGGAGAAAAAATACAGGCAGCGGGCGGCTCTCTGGCCGCTGCGAGCCGCTGCTGCTAGGATGGGGTTAAATCAGGCAGCGGGCGGCTCTCCAGCCGCCGCTTGTTCAATGATGGGGTTAAAGCGAACAGCAGGTGGCTGGAGAGCTGCCGCCACTGCTGCAAGGTAGGGGTTATATCAGGCAGGGTAGCTGGAGAGCCGCCGACGCTGCCATGAAATGGATGCTGCACTTCTATGAGTATCATGGGCGCCGGTGAATCAGCTGGAGCAGGCAGTTTGGGACCCGGCGTATAACACGCAGTATCGGCGTATAACACGCAGGCAGGGTTTAAGCTTGCAATTTTAGTTTTAAAACTGCGTGTTATACGCCGATAAATACGGTACATGTAAGATTGTCCTACAAGATTTATCTCAAACTATTTGTTTATGTTGTTACCTGGATCCATCAATATCTCCCTTGTTGCAATGGGCAGCAATTAGCCGCTGATATGTGACCTGTAAAACATAATTAAATATGAGAATTGCTAATATCAAATGGTACAGTAAATTTATGAAAATACCTTTATGAAATACCTACTCGATTGGGCTGGATATTTGCCTCCTCCATTTTTGTTAGGAATACATCCGGAGAAAAATCATGTTCATTCTGGAGATAAACTTTTAGCAAAGCGTTATAATGGCTTACATCGAATATAACACCTAAGTAAAAAATTGTAAAAAATAAAATAAAATTCAGTACAATAAAAAGTTCATAGAATTGTTTGACACAATGGTTAACATACAGAAAATGGACTAAAAATCAAGACACATCAGATTTCGACAGTCCTTATTGCTCACCTAAGCTTCAGCTTAAATTTGGACATTTTTAGTATTATTTTCCTATGCAATGACAACCCCTAAAGGAAGAGTAGGTGGAAGATGCCATGATTAAAGGTTGCCACTATTAAAACTATTTACAGCTCTTGATACTATTTATCATGAATGATGGGAACTAACTATGGTTGGTAGCAGATCCCAGCTAAAATTTCTCCGTTAAGTTGGGGAAGGGTGAGTTACACACTTTAGCACATAGGGTACTGTACAATAGTTCCTGACATTTGATTTCTTTCAATTCTCACTTTTTAAGTTTGGAGTTATTTATGGTTAGCACCGAAGTAACATAGGGAATTTCAGTCATGTGGGAAGTGAGAAGGGGAAGAAAAAAGGTGAACAAGTACATATTTTCCTTTTATAGCACCAAGTTGCAGTTTGGAGCTAAGTCTAAAGTATCCAAACTAATGCTGAATACCATAAGCCATTATCCAAAACCTTTAAGAACTACTACCAGATAGTTCAGTTAAGAAACCCAGGTAGAAAACTGCAAATAATTCCATCTAATAACTTGACAAGCAAAACACAAGATCAATAAACTTAGTCTCCAAAGCAATAAACATAAAGCTAACATAACTGAAGATAAAATAAAAAGTTTGCTTTTACTATCAATCCCCTAGATGTCAGCATAGCTCTCCAAATATGGAAAGTCACCTGAAAAATGTCATAGCAACTGGTATGCAGGAATGGTAATACATAGAATATTATCAAACCATTTATTTTTTAAAAAAATACATGCTAATCTATATGGTGTTTTTTTTACTTAAATAACATACCAGCACTTTTCAGCTTTACCCACATGACATGAGCAAGGTCTGTTCTTTCATGCGGAGGTAGCTCAGGCAACAGGGAGCCACAGCTTCTTAACAGCAGCAAGGCCTGGTTACCATTTGGAAATCCTAAATTAGAACAAAATAATTTGGAAATGCAACAACTTTTAAATTTTGCAGAAATGAGAAGTTTAAAAGTTTAAACATTCTAGTCTTCTTTGTATCAACCAATAATGAAAAAGAAACCAAACTTTACAGAATAAGTAGTCTTAAAGACAGGAAACATTAGTATATCCATGCATGTATCTTATTTGACTAGAGATACACTGAATTTAAGATATACATGAACAGGTAGTCACTGGCACACAACTGGAGTCTGCCCATTATGATCATATGTTGGTCACATGACCAACCTGATTTTATGATGGTTTCTGCAGCAATTATTAAGCAAACCAATGGAGGCCCAATCATCGAAATTTCAAATAAAGGACCTAAGCCTTCTTTTATGGGTCAATTATAACTTTGAACAATAGCAATAGCAGTAGACTTATATACCGCTTCATAGGCCTTTCAGGCCTCTCTAAGCGGTTTACAGAGAGTCAGCATATTGCCCCCAACAATCTGGGTCCTCATTTTACCCACCTCGGAAGGATGGAAGGCTGAGTCAACCCTGAGCCGGTGAGATTTGAACCGCTGACCTGCTGATCTAGCAGTAGCCTGCAGTGCTGCATTTAACCACTGCGCCACCTTGGCTCTTGAACAGTCACTAAGCAACCGGTCATAACTTGAAGACTAGTCGTTTGTTTTCAACACTTTTATGTATATTGCATTATGAATCTAGCTATTATTAAAGACCTTCATTTAGACTTCTTCAAATTTTCTGGAATCCTGCTGACCCATTTAGAATCATGAGCAGCTTTTCTGGAGGCCATCATAAAATGGAGCGAGTTGATTTACAAAATGGCTCCATGAAGGAAAAGAAAACACTGAACAAAGAGTATTAGGAAAATCAGGGAATAAAAATTACAACCATTTGAGAAAAAAGAAATACATTACAAAGTAAAAACATACAAGACCAGAGGAAAGACCATTTTGCCAAATCTTAAGGGGAAATGACATTTACAAACTACTCAACGTGTGAAAATTTTAAATAAGATTTCAAACACCTAAATGTATAGAATCAACACTATACAATGGACTCTGGATTTCAAACTAATTTATAGTTGTAAAAAAACACTGTATGGACTTGCAGGTTGAAGGGGAAACTGAATTCTCTACTCAAGATATCTAGATAACTAAAACAATAATGGTGTTCCCTGGTTTAATATTTTAGCCTCTTAGCAGAAGAGATGTGCAAAAGGGGCTTCTAACTTCTATAAAATCACACTTGTAACATTTTTATACATCACATCTACTGTTCACATATACAGAATGAAAATTCTGATTGTAGGCCCTCTAAAACAAGACTCCAGAAAAATGTTGCATTTGTTTCAAAAAACCAATATCAATAATTAATATATTAACATAACACTTACATTGGTGATGTTCAATAAGAATTAAGAAGACAACCCTTTTACCTGTTTTGCAGGCATCATGAAATATGTCTTCTAACAGGGATTTAGTAATGCACCCATTTCTTCTGATCGAACTGTCCATTTTGTTAAACGCCCAATCAAAAAATTGTATCTGCTTTTGTTGAACAGGTAACTGTTCTTGAACATCTCTGTTTTCTTGGACTGCAATTGTAAAGAGCCTTGTGGGGTACATTAGGGATCTGCAAATCAAAACAAAGTCTATGATGTATTACAGTATTTTCCTGTTAAGCAAAAATTATTACAAGCTACTAATTTTGTATCTAAAATATTAATAGAGCAAAAGAACCCAAAGTTAGCACCAGTCTAGTTATCAAATCAATGGACATTTTCAGTATAATATTTCCAGATTATGCACAGATTAAGGCAGTTTCACAAATTAATGTAATCAAGAGTGTGATGCCAATATACGCTACTATATGCTTCCAACTTTCATCCCTAACCAGACTTTAAAACTAACAAATCTTTGCAATAAATTCCATTTTTTCTTAACCAAAAGTGGTAACCTCACTAGATTCACAGAACAGAGTTTGCTTGGATTTTGGAAGGCTCAGACTGGTAGAAAATAGGGTTCTGTACGTGTCTCGATTCATATTTACACACTACTCCAATGATTAGAATCAACCACTCAGGATAGAGAACCACTGCCATACAATACCCTTCATTCCCAAGTTTTACAGTTATTCTAGAAGGATATCATGATCAAGAAGGTATCAAATATAGATGAGATTCCACAAGACTAGTGAACCTCCCATTAGCCCAAACACAAAAGAGTGACCACTACTGGGGTTTTCCCTCCTATATCCATGACTGAATTTGAACTGAAATCCAGATAAGCTCTATTAAGTTTTAACCCAACTACTTTCTCAACAATCTTCCTAAAAAAGGATAGTAAGAGAAAGTCAAAGAGTTATCCATAGCAACTTGACAAATGGCTTCTTTTTTTGTTACCCTTTGTACCCAACCTGTCAGCTTGCAAGAGGGATTCAATCCATAGGTGATGAAGGTAATATTACAGAAACCTGTTCTTTATCCTGGGACTCAGATCCAACAATGAGACTGTGGTAAATGTGGAAAATTAAATGTAGTACCTCAATGAACAACACTGAAAACAAATATTTAGGTCCAGGTAAATATTCAAAATAGAGGAGAATTAGTAAACATTGTAATAGGGGGTGCCTTTGAATCACTGTTGACTCCTGGCAACTGTCTAGATTACTCCATGTTTTCTTGGCAAAGATTTTCAGAAGTAGTTTGCCATTGTTTGTTTCCTAGGGCTGAAGGTGTGTGAATACAATCTCCTCAGTTCTAGCTTAATGCCTTAACCACTGGACCAATTGGCCATGTAAAGCTGTAATAAATTTCTGAAACCACCTACATGAAAATAAACTAAATCAATGGTTTACCCTTTTTCAAAAACAATTGCCTAATATCATAAGAACAATTCTCTAATATCATAAGAATATCATAAGTTATGATATGATAAAATGTGTGCAAAACATTAAAGTTTAAAAGAAGTTTAATGTAGGATGTTAAATATCACAAATTAGCGAGTAAGATCTCTTCTCAATTCAAGGATATTAAGGCTGGCTTCACATAAGCACATTAACCAGTAACATGTTGGTTTACTTTTGGCTTTGTGTACTGTGTCTAGCCTGTTTATGAGTCTGGTTAAAATTATGCATAAATATAATGTGGCTTTTTCTGTGAGCAAGACATATGCATATGCAGGCTAAATAAAAATAGGAAAATTTTTGAATTAGAAGCAGAAATCATTCATAATGAATGTCAATAACAAATTATTCATATCAAACAATGGTAACACTTGTGCAAAACAAAAAATGTATCTGTATAGAAATAACTCAGAATACTTTTCAACTTGCAAAAAAAATGTTATGATCATATTAAAAATGTTTGTTGTACTTTATATTATGCTTTAAAGGCAGAATTTAAGATTCAAGTGATCCTAGTTCTGCAATTATGAAAATGACTATCTAAAATGATTGACTATAATTCTCATTTGCAACACTATAGCTTTATAATCATGCTTTGGGAAAAAGGAAGCCCCTATATAGATAGTCCTTGACTTGCGATCATTTGCTTTAAAAAGGTCCAAAATTATGATGGCCATAGAAAAAGCGACACCCATAATCACTTGATTGTAATTTGGATGCTTGCAACTGGTTTACATTTACAACTGGTTGCAATGTCCTGCAAGTACATGATTACAATTTTACCATCAACCATTTTTGCTGATTTCTGGCAAAAAAAAATTTGGGGGGAGAAGCTGGATTTGCTTAACAATTGTGTGATATATTTAATGACTGCAGTAAAAATGTCATAAAATCAGCTCCAACTCAACTTAGATCTGCAATGACTTACAATGAAAATTCCAGTTCCAATTGTGGTTGTAGGTCCTGTAATTGAATGTTTTGGGAAATATCATAAAAATACATGTCTCAATTCTTGTGGTTGAACCATTGCCTGGGGGGGGGGGCGCTTTAGAGGGAATAGAGACATTCCAGCTTAGAGTCTGTTTAGGGGACGAAACGTCTGAGGTCAAACTGTTAGGTCTATATCTGCTGTTTCCCCAGGCAAGGCAGATAGTCATGTAATATCTACATGAGTCTATCCACAGGTGGATATGTGCACCTGACAATACTGTATGTGCAATTAATTTGAAATTTATACAATAAAATCATTAAATGTATGAGTGGGGGGGGGGAATTAATAATGATATATCTTGGGATCAAGAGAAAGTCAGGAGGCCTGAAGGAAGCACTACTTGCTTTCTGGAAAGTTGTTTGCAATTTTTCTGTTGCTGGAATGGAGAGAAGGTAAGGAAAGGATTTGTAAAATTCAGATCAAGCAGCTCAATCACTGAAACAAGCCCTGATAGACTTCCAAAAGTCGGAATTAGCTTTTCATCCACAGTGATACACATGAAATGCCCACTTCCTTCTCTGACCCTCAGCAGATATTTTTTCCTCCAGTTTTAGCTACTTCCCTGACAGAGACATAGAGATAAAGTTCTTCTACATACGATTTATAAGATATAACCAAAAGTCAAAGAACAGCCAACAACGCAGAGCATACTGAACCAACAACCAATACCAAATAAACAGGATCAGAAAACCAATCAGAAAAAGAAACAACACCACAATGGTATTACCAAGGAAATTACCCAGGAAGAGACCATACCCCAACCAAAAGGCAAACTATTAACAGAAAAAAGCAGCAAACTTTATTCTGTAAATTGTTCTTACTTTACCTATGAAATATGTGCAAAAAAAAAATCACTTCAGAGAATATCAAGGGCCTAACAATTTAATTCTGAGCAACATAGTGTATATTCTCTAGTATTGGAGGCAGAAATCACAATCTACTACCCACCAAATATTCTGAACTGTGAAGTCCCAGTTAGCATATTTATAGTTAGGGATCAAAGCTATGGTGCAAAGCTTAAGATGAAAGTTCAGATCAACTAAAACAATTTACAGATACTTTATTAGTAATTTATCGCGCGTGCATGCGTGCACCCTAGGCATGTGTGTGTGACCCCCATCTGCTCATGTGACCCTCTCACCGCACATGGGCCCTGTGCAGGGAGGTTTCACCACCCCCAGATTCCGGGAGGAGCCTGGGGAAAAATTGGGCTTTTTTGCCTTCCCCCATCCCCAGGCTCTTTCCTGAAGCCTGAGGAGAGCGAAAAACAGCAACGGGCAAACTGGAAGTTGGTTCCTGAACTTCCAGTTTGCCTGTTGGGCGGTTTTTCGCCCTCCTCAGGCTCCAGAGGCTTTCCTTAAGCCTGGGGAGGGTGAAAAATGGCCTAATGGGAAGTTTGGGAATTTGGGCCGTTTTTCGCCCTCCCGACACTGGAGGAAGGTGAAAACAGCCTCCCCCAGCCCTCTGGAAGGCCAAAAATCAGCTGGCCGGCATGCGCATGCACCCAGAACGTGTGTCATAGGTTCGTCATCACGGTCCTAGAGGATGATTTGTTACTGTTAGTTGTGAAGTTATGTCTGACCTATTACGACCCCATGGCCTTCCTGTCCTCTACCATCCTCTGGAGTCCATTTAAGCTCACACTTACTGCTTCAGTGACTCCATCCAGCTACCTCTGTTGTCCCCTTCTTTTGCCCTCAATCTTTCCCATTATATTTACACATATCATCATAAGTTGATTATATACATCTTAATAACCATTCCAAGGGGGGCAGCGGAGGTACAGGAAATAAATGTAGTTAATCAAGAAACCCGTAAGGACACAAAGGTAAAGGAGCATGCCAAAGAAACTCCCAGCGTGAAGACTGTGCATATGTCCTTATATGAAAATGCCATCCCACCCCATAAGATGAAACTGCAGAGTACCTGACTTCAGAAGTAAAAACAGAAAATACAAACACTGAAGAAATCTAATGGAGTGGTACATAACCAATGAAATTATTTTCTGCAGATGATCTCTACAGAAATAATAAGAAAGGTGTACTGGATAGAATTTGGTCTATATGTCAAAAAGGATATGGTGACATAAAACACAATGTATATCTGGAACTGCAAAGAATTTCCTTTCTGCATAGAAAACACAACCAGCTAACAGGAACATAGTGTATTAACAAAAGGTTAGGAAGAATAGCCATATTTATGCAACTGGAAGTACATGAATGTTGAAATCAGGTGATAAATGTGGCAAAATCTATTCCGAGCTGGATTAGTGATTTTCCAAATGCTGGAGTACACCTTCATAGGCATCAGTCAATAATTACACAATTCAGTTTTCTACCACTTAATTAGACACAGGACTGCATGGTTAAATACCCCCACAAAAATCTGTGTAACACTCAAAGCGAGTAAAGTGAGTAAACAATGCCTTAAAACTTTTGAAATATTTTAATATTTTTAAACATATTGTGTACAGTCCCAATTACCATCAGTAAACTTACCACAATTAAGCCCAAAATTTATGTTGTTAAGTGAGACACTTGTTAAGTGAGTTTTGCCCCATTTTACAACATTTTCTGCCACAGTTAAGTAAATCACTGCAATTGATAAGTTACTAAGATGGTTGTTAAGTGAATCTGGCTTCCCCATTGACTTTGCTTGTCAGGAGGTTGCAAAAGATGATCACATGACGCTGGGACACTGCAATGGTCATAAGTATGAACCTGTTGCCAAGCATCTGAATTTTGATCTTGTGACCATGGGGACGTTGCAAAGGTCATAACTGTGAAAAATGGTCATAAGTCACTTTTTCGGTGCTGTTGTAACTTTGAACGGTCAGTAAATCCACTGTTGTAAGTCAAGGACTACCTGTATTGTTCTGGTCTCTATAACGCAGAAAGGTAATTGTAAAGTTAGCTCCAGGAATGGCAAGCAGAACAGAGCAGCCCTGTAATGGCTCCAATATTAAAAAAAACAACTTTAGGGAGAAAAAGCAAAGGACAAAGTGTCAGTTATAAATTTAAGCAAAATATGGAAAGCACATCCAAAACACATCCAAAGCCAGATTCCCTCAATCACACGTAACTAAAATGCAACTAGCTGTGTCAATCTAACTAAATATTGTAGTTGATTTATAGTTTGGAGCAGTATATCTCCCCCTTAAGAACTTTACCAGCATTGAGTTTAATCCAAATTGTTGCTCAGGTGGAGAAACACTAGTTTGCATAAAGTGTTGCATAAAGTGTTGCATAAAGTAAGAGTGTTGCATAAAGAAGTAGTTGGATTAATTCAGTAAACCATAGTTCACTTAAACATAGAGTAGGTTATGCATCTTCCTTTCCACAGCGTTAGAATCCAAGGATGCTGGCTATGCTTGAACAGTGGAATGTTCAAGTTAGATAAAAGATTCTTTTTTCAGAACACATCATTAACGGTAGAAAATCACTGACTGAATCTGTAGCAATGACTACCAGGTTAGGCAGAGGTTGCTTGAAGGGAAAAGAACAACAGCCAAGTTCAGATAGTACTCAACTTATAACAGTTCATTCAGTAACTGTTTAAAGTTACAACAGCACTGAAAAAATGTGACCTGTGACCGTTTTTCACAAGTACCTTTGCAGCACACACCATGTGATCAAAATTCAGATGCTTGGCAAATGGTTCATATTTACTATCTTTTCTGGTCCCCAAGATCATGTGAGCGCCCCTTTTGTGACCTTCTGACAAGCAAAGTCAATGGGGAATCCAGATTCACTTAACAATCGGGTTACCAATTTATCAACTGCAGTGATTCACTTAACTGTGGTAAAAAAGTCGCAAAATGGGGCAAAACTCACTTAACAAATGTCTCATTTAACAACAATTTTGGGGCTCCGTTGCGGTCCCAACTGAAGGACTACCTGTACTTGTTTTCTTTTCTTTTACTTTCTTCATACGCCGAGGCAGTTCACCTCTGAAAACCGGCTCTTTGCCGCGTGTTTTATACCCTGCAGTTTCCCATTAGCAGCTAGTGCGGAACTGGTAATAAAAAACAGCATGCCGGCTTCGGTCTTGTCCTCCAAGTAAACAATTCTGGCCCTGGATTCAGATTGGCATGGCCTGATCCAACCTACCACCCCGCTATCGACTGGGTTGGATTACCAGACCCATAATCCACACCACGGCCGAGGAAGGCTGCAAAAGCGTGTAGCCTCGTGTTGCGGATCTTAGAACAGTCTGGGTTGCAAATATTTGGACGGCCGTTAGAAAGCAGCAAAGGCATATAAACCCCCCCCCCCGCTCCCGCAACCCCAAGGATCTTCGCGACCTCCCCCTGCTTGCTTTCACTCCCCGGACCCGAGAAGCTGCGTGCTTCCCTCGGGGGATACTCACGCTCTGCTGGGATTGGTGTTAAAGCGTCGGAGGGCAGCTGAGGGCAACGGCGACGGGACGGGCCCCGGAAGGACGCATCCTCCTCGCCAGAGCAAGAGACGCGAACGAAGCCAGACGGCTGACCGGAGCAACCCCGCCATGGCTACTCACGCACGCTGGTGCAGCAAAAGAACCCAGCGGCCCAAGGGGAGCACGTGACCGGCAGGAGGCTGCATTCACTAGGACCGGGAGGGGGGTATCTTGGGATACGCTTGGCCAAGATCCGGTATGCTCGAACCGAGGAATACACTGTCGCAAACCCAGATGCTTGGAGAAATTGGATGATTTATCCCGAAGAGTTCGGATACTTTAAAAAGCGTATTCACCTTTCCTTTTCAACCCCAAGTTACAGTAGATCCTTTTTAAAAAATGGAACAGTCCAAAACGGATAGACGTAACTCAAGGGCAAGGACGGAGAGTGACTTGGGCCACTCCGAATGGAACGCGAAGCATCAGTCTGCAAATTATTTATTATTGTTCCTGGCAGAGTTACGCTGTCAAAAGGCACCGTCAGACTTGTCTTAAAAATAAAAACCGCGCGGTCCAGAGACGGGCTGATTCGAAGAGGTTTTCGAGATTAAGTTATGACTCCAGAGACCTTCAACTCCGGGAAAGCTATTTGTCGGCCTTATCCTTACTTTCTCTTCTTGCCGGGGAAGACACGTGAAACATCCCTACTCTGCGCATGCGCTGTAATCACGCCCGCTCTGATTTAAAAAGAAAAAAACTTCCTAGAGCGCGGGAAGAAAGTAACCAACGAGTTTCTTGGCGGTGGTTGGAAGGCTCGTCTCCCATTTTTGGATTAAGGGATACAGCCGCGCTGCGGTTTAAATCCGAACCGCAGCGAACCTTCCCCAGCGAAGTGAGAACTCAATCGCCAGTATAATAAATCTCGGTTTTTTGCCCCCTATCCCAAAGCTTTCGAGGTGTGTTCAAATTATGACACGGGCAAATATTGCCGCCCGTTGGCTGCCTCTCTCATGATTAAGATGACCAGATTTTCAGATTGGTAAAGAGGGACACCATTGNTTGTCTGTATTCCCTCCCCTTGGTTTGTTAGCCGCCCTGAGTCCCTCCGGGAATAGGGTGGCATATAAGTGCAATCAAATCAAATCAAATCAACCAGCCAACCGGAAGCTTGTTCAGGAACTTCCGTTTGGACCGTTGGGCCATTTTCTGGCCTCCCCAGGCTTCAGGAAAGCCTCCAGCGAAAACTCCCCCAACCCGGTAGGGATTGTGCATGCATGCATGGGTGGTCGTGCGTGCATGTGCAGGTGGAGGGTGGTTGTGCGCACATGTACAGATGGGTGGTCACGTATGTGTGCACAATAGCACTCACACATGCAATTTTGCCACACCTTTAGAAAAAGGTTAGTCATCCCTGGTATAGAGAGATATGCTCACTCATAATGCAAGTAAATTCAGTCCCATTCTAATAGTATATCAACTGTATTATTTCTCACCGTGTTCCATTTGTTACATTTTTGTGTGCTATATTTTTCTTCCAATTAAAAATATATATATATATCTAAAATGTTTTCTTTGACACGCAATTCAGCACGACAATTTTGGTTCTTGGCTTGAAGCTCAATCTTTCCACCTTCCACCCCCTGCTTTATATCTGCCTTTTATTTTAGATTTGCTGATTTTTACATACACACAGACAAACACGCCACATTTTGAATACTTCCTGCCTTGCTACTATTGCTTTGCAAGGTCCTACTGTGCAAATTGGCACTTTAAGTAGGTGGCACTTCTCCTAAGTGACTAACATCCACCCCTGGTGTGAGAATCGGAAAAAAACAATTATGCTAAACTGTAGTTCTTGTCAGGAACTTGAATCTACCGGAGGGCAACGGAATACAGTTTTCAGAAGACCATAATTCCAGCTTGATAGACAGAAATAAAATTATATGCTAGCACTTTTAAAAGTTTTTTTTTAAAAAAAGAAACATAAAATGACTTCTGGCTATTAAGAAAGCTGAGGAAATCTTTATTTAGAAAGCTTTTACAAAAGACAGCCAATGCCCAGTGCGCTCATTAAATGAGAGAGAAAGAAAAGGAAATAACAGGCTTAAAATGAAATAGAAAACAACTTCTGCCAATTATAATGTCCTGTACTTGGGTCACATCCGTTTTTGTATGTTATTCACCATATGTTTTTTGGTTATTATGGATAGCTGGGCAGAGTTAAGTAATGATTATTGGCGAGAGCTTTTTAACCATTGGGAGAGTAGATCTTATGGGTTCAGAAATCAAGCGTTGTAAAGAGTCTTGGGCTATGAACTGTAACGTTCCCGTGGTTCGCCCATGAGGCCAATGTGGAGAAAAGACAGGACACGACCTTTCTCAGGATGGAGCGACCCAGATTGGGGGTCTGAGAGCCCCTTTTATTGAGATAGGACAAAGGAATATTGCTGCCCAGCTACAGTGT